AGTCAAATTTATTTGTCTGCCTCCAAATACCACACACCTCACTCAGCCACTTGATATCGCATATTTTCGCCCACTAAAGATCAAATAGAGGCAAATATTAACAGACTATAAACTGAATGGTACAAATAAAACAATTTCAAAACAAGATTTCCCCCGTCTTCTACGATTGCTAACCGACAGTTTAGCTAAGACTGGACAAGGAAATTTAGCAAGTGGTTTTGCAAAGGCAGGAATTTTCCCGCTAAATAGAACAAAAGTTTTGGAACGGATTCCAGGAAACGAAAATTATGATCCCAACATTCAAGCGAATGTCAGCGCTTCCGTAATAAATATTACACAAGAAAGAAGATTCACACAAGAAAGTATAAAAACAAATAAGAAGAAAGTTAATGTAATTGCAGGCAAAAGTATTTCTGCAAGTGATTTTAATCCGCAGCCTGGTCCAAGTAAGGTCGAAAGGAAGAGAACACGTTCTAGCAGCAGTCTTGAGCACAGTGGATCAGAAACAGAACTGGATGAACCACAAATAGAACTAGTAGACAACATGGAAGAGTCTACTGAAGTGCAAGTAGACATGAATAAATTGGAAACAGGAAACTTTGTTTTATTTAATTACGAAAACCAAATCTACCCTGGAGAAATATTGGAAGTAAAAGAGGACAGAAGTGAATTTAAAATAAAAGCCCTTGTTAAAAGTGGATTGTACCAGTGGAAATGGCCTCAACAGGACGACATCCTGTGGTACAAAAACACAGAAATACGGCAAATTATTAAAACACCATGTGCTTCAAAGAGAGGTTTTTATAAAATTCTTGAAATAAACGCGCCATAAATATTACTTAGGCCACAGTTAATATTTTTTATTTTGTATAATTTTATGTAGAGTTATATTTTTGTTTTACACAAAATTTTGGATAATAAATTATGTTATGTACTATACTTTAATACAAATTGGTCAAAACATTTTTTAAAAATGAATTTGGGGGCCAAAGTCGCACTTCCATGGGGTTTTCTTTATGTTATCATATGAAACGAATGGGTGGCCAAAGTAACCCAACTTTATCTTCTGACTTTGGCCACCCCCTTTTTTTTAAAAAAAAAAGGGTGTTTAAGTATTTGGAGCATCGCGCAAGTTTGGATATTCAAAGCACAAATAGAGACCCATAAAATAAGTCCTTGTTGAATACGAAATGATAACTCGTTGAAAAGTTATATCAACTCAAAGTTGAAAAGTGGACCAAAGTCACCCAAGTTTACGGCATATGTGTACTACTTGTTGATAATACTTATAGATTACTTTGAACAAGTCTGGAGAAATCACTGACGGAAATTGCACCAGTTCTAGAGGAATTAAATGCCACCATTTGGCAGCTTTAGCACTTTTTGGACACTATAATATATCCGTTACGGACAAACTGTGCACATGGAATATGCCAAAGTCCAAAAATGTGGAGGTAAAAACAGCCAAGGATATGTATGTATCCTGCAAAACCGTACTCTGCAATCGATCGGAAGATAAATGCACAGGAAGAATTAGCCCAAAAACTTGCCTTACTTGGTAACACTGTAGAATTCAATTGGCTTCTGCAAAAAGAAAGTAATGATACTGAGGCAAGTGATCTTTTCCGTATCATTGAGGACATCCTATGTTCTTCCGAGTTCTTTCAATCGTCAAATAAAGCACATCAAGGAGATAGGGAATGTAACAAAAGGACAGATTTTAAATCCTAAGTGGTTTTTATACAGGAAACATAGATTAACCGCCAGCAATTTTGGATATATTATTTCTTGTGCCAAACGAAACAAATTTCCTCCAAGTCTATTTAAATCACTAGCAGGTATGCTTTGCGATACCTCAATTTATTTAGTATTTCACAAAATGTCTGGTTTCAGGTGGACACAATTTAGACAGAATTAAGTCTATTCAGTGGGGAAGAACCCATGAAACAAATGGTGCTATTTGGTTAAGTAATTCCGGTTTGCTGGGGGCAAGTACTGATGGATTAGTTGGAGAAGATGCCATCGTTGAAATTAAATGTCCCTATACATATAAGAAATGATAAGTTGTCGGAGAAACTAAAACAGCCTAGCAAATATATTATACATTTCGATGAAAATGGGGAAGTAGTTTTGAACTTAAATCATAACTATTATCACCAGATTCAGGGACTTATACATATTTTAAAAAGGAAGAAGTGTTATTCATGTATATGGACAGTGCAAGAAGTAATTACTGTGCCTGTTGAGATTGACACATTGTGGGCAGAAAATTTATTAGTATTAGAAAATTTTTACATGAATAACTATTTGCCGAAGCTAATAGAGTAACAGTATCTTTGTGAATATTTGTAAATAAGTTATAAAATTAATATTTATTTGTTTAGTAATACATATTGTACATAGATAGATAGTAGTTACTAGTTAGGTAGAATGACCGTTAAAGCATTTTTTTTATACTAACAAACTTAAGCAACACCTGTTATCAATTAAATACTTATAGGAATCGACAACACTTCCAATATTACATCTGAAGGAACGGGTGCCGAGAACAATCCTACTACTATACAAGTATTTCCATCTACATCTTCCATATTGCAGCTTACAGGTGTGACAGATAAAAAATATTCTTCTGGTTAACACACAAACACTGGTTTCAGATGGTAATTTAAACTAAGTTGGTTATCATATTTACCTATCTAACATTTACACAGAAGAAGCTTTTTAAAAGTCGTCATGTAACTAGGCAGGGTCAATTAACTCCACGATGTAAGAAAATGTACAAAAACAGCCAAGTTACAGCACAAATTTGAAAACTGGCAAAATAGATTACTTCTGGCAACGAAGGCAGCACAAAACACATATTTTTCTGAATTAGTAAACAGTGTTAATGATTTAACTTACAAGTTTATTCTTCAACAGATGCGTACTCAAAAACAGGCACCGTGAAATTGGGTGGAATTGACTTCGAGGGGCGACTTTGATAACCATATCCAAATTAGAAATATTCGAAATTCGCGCGCGCTATTTGCGGTCTTAAAAAGCGCGCCAAACTAAATTGTGTGCAGTGATGGTGTATGGAGTGATCGGTGCATGTTGGAAGTTTATTTCAATCGTGATATAGATATGCTAAAAAGGTAAGTAACTTGCAACTCAAAATAGAACCCCCAAAAATATGTGTTCCTCTCCATAAACCGTTAAACTCTATTACATTGTCTTAGTGCAAATATATTTGTTGGTATCTTGTGTGATTCAAACCTAAATATGCTGCTTGTCTCACATACGTACCTAGAAATAAATTTAATTTTTTTCATGGGGTCAAATTGATCAGCTAGGTAGGGCGAAATTGATCGTGGTATTTCATCCATAATAATTTAGTATTTTTTTTTATTTTTAAATTAATTCAAATAATCGTTACAGAATGCGAAGAGTGTATAAAAGGAAGGTGGGTGGACACATATACAACTACGACGAAACCAATTTGCTTGATGATCCAGGTCGAAAAAAATTAGTATTTCAACGCCGAGTCAAATATCCCGAAAAAATTTGTAATTTTACAAAATCTGTGACCTCGATTATGATGAAAATTAGGACCGTGTTGTACCGAAGGAATTGTAGCGCCGGTTCACGGTACAATCGTACCAGTCATGGGTGGATGGACGCCCAAACATTCAAATACTGGTTTAAAAGCGCCTTGTTACCACATGCAAAAAGGCAAAATGGGCGCAAAATTCTAATAGGTGATAACTTTGTAACAAGTTCATTTCTTCTTTGCATCAGTCCGTATTTTACATTCGGTACGCCCTGTACATATATTTCTACTTCTGTGCGTTGGATTAGTTCCGCCAGGTGGCAGTACCTTACGGCGCGATCAAAAATTTCACATGCTCTTTCCGTTTTCGACTGTGATCGAACGAACAACTAAGCCGTGCTTCGTGAGAAAAGAAAAACACGTGGGTAATCTTTGCCACCAATGTTAGTTAAAAACTTTGGCAATTCTACCCGTATTAATTGCGAGACAAGTAGTCTGCAGCATTTTACCGTTCATCGGGATTTAACGTGAATTTTTTTCTTCGAGTAAGTACGCTTATCTAAATAATTTCTTTTCTTATGGCGGCCATTGTAGATTACGGACATACCGGAAAAGGTGTAATCAAGGAACGCTTGGTATTTAATCCCTCTTAAATTTACTTAGAGGTAACGAATTCTACATGTGTGAGGGTGTGTGTGTGTGTGTAGGAAGTTTTTAGCTTAAACTATGTTCGAAATTCCTTGTTCGGGGGAAATTCCTTGTTGAGACCACCTGTGGATTGGGGGAAATTTTGGAGATTCATTATCAACCATAGAGTCGTGACCAACAACCTTATCTGAGGGAGATAAGAGAGCGGCCATTTTATGAAGACGAGGGAGAAACTCATTTAACTACCTACTGTTTCGACATGATCGAGAATGCCTTTTTTTTTGCTTGATCATATATATTAATTTTTGTGTGGCTGCGACACTCCACCAGAGACACAGACATTTTTAGCGGGGTACCGAGATTTGAGCTTACCGCAAGCTTCGTAGGTCCTTCAGACATTTATTCACATATTCCGAACCCTGTGGTTTGGACCCTTTTTGTTCTCTTTTAATTGCAGAGGTGAATAGTGCAAACAGAGCTCTCTTTGCTGCCTCACATCTGGAATATTACGTAAGGTAAGCGTTGTATTTTATTTGCCTTGTTGTTACCGAACTTGCGTTGGGATATTTTCGTTACTATTTATGACCGGTAGTAACATAACCATCTTGTAATTTATATGTGTGATTCATTTATCAATCTTAACGATCATTAAGGAACAGTAATTGGGGGGCAATCATTTTTGAACTGGAATATAATTTTTGGGAATTAATTGGGGGGTTTTATGATTTGTGCAGTGTGTAATTTCACTTATATATTATTTTGCAATTTATTTGAAAGCAACCAGCAATATAGAACCATTTGATTTGCATTTGTGGTTATTGTGCATCCTGTATCTTCCCAATTTTATGCAGGGTGAGTTGATAGTGTACATTAGAAATTGGGTGGCGCTCAACCATATCGCACGGAGATTGTCTTGCCCAGAACGAACTTCACTGCTTTGAACCTTCTCTTGCTTCCATATTTAAAAACACTGAGTTTAGCTGGCCGTTTATGCGGCGGGTTTTGTTGAAAGCAGCGCCAAGCCAGACCCACTATTATAACTTAGCTTCACATTTTACAGAGGAGGTAATAAGATTATGCGAAGAAAATGACATTGGATTCGTCTGCCTCCCAAAAAATGCGACCCATCTTTGTCAACCATTAGATGTGGGTTTTTTAGACCGTTTAAAATGGCCTGGAGAGAAGTTCTCGTGGACTGGAAGAAAACATATCCCACTCATTCATCGATTGACAAAAAAAGATTTTCCGCAATTGCTCCAAACGATTTTGTTGCGGATGGACAATAAAGATAAAATAAAAAAGAGGACATTCTCTTACTAGAGCGAAAGTGTTAGGTGGAATGAGGAACACGGTTATATATCGTTACGTTGTAGTAGTGCAGAATGTTCAAGAAAATGAGTTTGAGGTCTTAAGAATGAAAAGCGTAGACAGAAAAAAAGACTGTATTTAAACCAGAAGAAGGAGACGAATTCTTGATCGGATTTGACGATATTATGGCAATATTACCTGAACCTGGTGTTGAGACCACCGAAACCTACGTTAGATATAACTTTGAAAAGCAAATACACATTAAGGAAATGTGGTTGTATGTATTTTTAGGTATTATTGTAAACTTGTTTCATTTGATTCAAATATGTATCCACCAATACAATTGTTTCATTTGTTTTGTTTTTTTTTGAGATTATCATTTATTTGGGATGTATTTTTAAGTTCTTAATAAATAATGTTAAAATCCTGTTTGAAATAAAAAAAAAACTATAGTCTATTATAGTGAACAAATCCACCCTGGGTGATCAATCCCACTCCAAAATGAATATTTTTAGATAACTTTCGAACCAATCGATGAACTTTCATCAGGGTTAGATTGATCACTATATTAGCTTTAGAGGTATGAAACTACAGTAACGGTTAAGTGGTGATCAAAGTCGCCCCACTCATAGTATAAAATTAATCATGCCATTTTTTAAATTTTTAGAGAAAAACAGCAATTCTGATACGGTTTTTGGCAGAAAAACTTGTTGCCCAACCAACGCGGATCTTAAATGAGTAATACACATCATTAGAAACATTTGCAATAAGAAAATATAGACAATAATAAAAAATGTATTATTAATTTCACTCCGATTCATTGCACCAAAAAATTGACGGATTGAAATATTTCTCATTTAAGTGCGATGGAGTTGACCCTCCTCAAGGCTATGATAACTCACTATTCAACGCACGGTTTGAACATCTTTCTTTGGAAGTTCGAAGATTAGCTCTCGGACTGACCTTTCTACACAATATAGTCTCGATTATTGTGGTGGAAAGTCAAGTTAATAACTTCTACGACTAAAAGTTACTGGGCCAAAGTTGTAGAGAATTTTATTCTTATTAAAAATACATTTTCAAATATCAACCTTCTCCCATTTAATTCAGATACCTACCCATTGTTGAGTCGAGAAAACGGATACTTTGTACGATAGGTATTTTTCTGCATGTGTTGATTTTCTTTATACATATGCTTTTTTCAGATCTTCCATGTTGTGTAAGATGTAAAGGTGTTGTCTTTAATAACACGGTTGCCATCACTTAATCTGTGACAAACGTGTGCCTCTACTCCCAACAAAAATTGAAGCGATACTATTCTACCAGTGCCCTTGTGGTAAATTTGGATATCCCTTTAAATTATTTATATGCATAGTAAGTATACCATTAATATAAATTTTTTTTTGTAATTAGTGTATTAATTTTTCCAGAATTCCACAAGCTTGCTTTTTGCCGTTTGCCGCGTTGTAGTAAGCCGCGTTATAGTGAAGTTGAACGCTTGTTCGCTTACCGTTCTTTTAGTTTGCCGCGTTATTGGTTTATCGCGTTGTAGCTTAAAATTCAAGTCTTTGAAGTCAAGAGGAAGTTACTATTCTCCAAATTATATATTACACTCAAGCCTCAAATAGACTACCTTCATACACTATTTTAACCATATTTCTTTATGAATCCTACAGGGTGGACAATTTCGTTTACTGTAGACAAATCCTGAAACACTTCAACTTTAAATTATAAATTTACATTTTTCAATATGGACTGGTAATGTATCGTTTGAAAGGTCTCTTCATTCTCTATCCAAAAGTGTATTGTTTTAAAATTTATATAAAAAAATAAAATCATCTGGTTACCGAAATTCTGTAATTAATTTTTTTTATGTGAATTTTTGCAATAAATTTGAAAACAATAACATTTTTGGTTAGAGAATGAAGAGACCTTTTAGACTTTCCATTTAACCTTCCGGAGGTGGCGCCAAGTCTAACAGACCCGGCGATAATTCAAACATTCGCCATTTCTCGATTCTGGTCGGCAAAAATTCGTCCAGTTTAGTACCTTCATAAAGTGAGCTCTAATAGTGGCCTAACACGTAGTAGGGTTCTAGCTTGAATTACAAGCGAATTATTAAACAAAAGGTCTCTCAAACTTGGCGCCACCGCTCGTGTTACTATTTTTGTACGTAGTGATAAGTGAAATTGTGACTTTTTCATTTAGGTAAGTATTTTATCACTTTGTCTGTCTTATTTGCTTAGTACATACTTTGCGGAAAAATTATTTGTAATATTAATATGTTATACAAATGATATAACAAGAATCGTTATATTTGTGTTCCCTCTAGATATTTTTTTTTAGAAAAGATGAGTTGGGAGAAACAACAAGAGGAATTGCGATTACTTTGGGAAGAATTAAATAGCGTAGAAGAACTAGACGATGATGAATTAGAACTAGCTACAGAGGATGATGTTATAGAACAAAGAGATACTGATAGTGAGTCGGAACAAGATTGTGATGATGATGATGAAAATATTCCACCTGAAAAAATTCCTCGAATTCCTCATTTTCTTGGAAAGAATGGTTCTACGAAGTGGAGAAAACATTGTATCAAGAAAACGTGCAGAACAAGACGGGAAAACATTATTGTACGTCTTCCTGGAGTGAGAAAATATGCAAAAAATGCTCTTTCTGAAGAAGAATGCTGGTCATTGTTCTTTACGGATGCAATGCTAACAGAAATTGTTGAAAATACAAACCTATTTATAGGTAACGTATCCCAAAACTATACTAGAACCAGAGCAGCTAAACCCACAGACCTAGTTGAAATAAAGGCCCTTTTTGGATTATTATACTTAGCTGGAACTATCAAAAGCAGCAGACTAAACACAAAAGAAATTTGGGACAGAGAAGGAACTGGAGTTGAAAGATTCTGGGCAACAATGTCTGAACAGCGTTTTCGATTTCTCCTAAACTGTTTAAGATTCGATGATCTCTCAACCAGGGATGAAAGGAAGAAAATTGACAAGTTGGCACCGATAAGAACTATCTTCGATCGTTTTGTTCAAAACTGTAAGAATGCCTACTGTATAGGAGTCAATGCAACCATAGACGAAAAGCTTGAAGCCTTTCGAGGACGATGCGGCTTCAAGCAATACATTCCCAGCAAACCAAATAAATACGGCGTGAAAATATTTGCTCTTGTCGATGCTTCCACATCATACTGTGCAAATTTAGAAATCTATGTGGGTCAACAACCCGAGGGTCCTTTCAGAATGAATAATTCTCCTTCTAGCGTTGTTTTACGCCTTGTAGAACCCATATCTGGAACGAATAGGAACCTTACTTGTGACAACTGGTTTACCAGCATACCCTTAGTTGTTGAATTGCTGAAATTACACAGCATAACATTCGTCGGTACCATAAAAAAGAACAAAAGGGAACTTCCACCAGAGTTTGTTAACACAAGAAATCGCGATATCTGTACCTCCATGTTTGGGTTCCAGGAAGATCTAACAGTAGTCTCGTATGTTCCAAAAAAATATAAAAACGTCATTTTAGTCTCTTCATTACACCATGATGATGCCATCGACAAATTAACTCAGGATAAATTCAAACCTGAAATAATAACATACTATAATAGTACCAAAGGCGGTGTAGACAATTTGGACAAGTTGTGCGCCACTTACAATGTAGCAAGGAATACTCGAAGATGGCCAATGGTTGTTTTATATGCTTTACTAAATATAGCAGGCGTGAACTCGCAACTGATTTATGCAGCAAATAATAAACAATATTCAATGATAAGAAGATTATATCTAAAGAAACTTGCAATAGAACTGACAAAACCATATTTAATTCGTCGTTCTTGTGAAACAAATGTACCACGAGCAGTACGGGACAGAAGACAAGAATATGCTGGAACATCTTCCAACTTTCAGCCCACAGAACAGATTACTCCAGGAACTCGAAAGAGATGCTTTTTTTGTGTGAAGGACTCTAAAACAAGATTTTTTTGTAAAAAGTGTAACAAATTTGTTTGTCTCTCCCACTTGAAAGCTTTGTGTGAACCTTGTTTAGATTCTATAGGCAATCAGTGAAACCTTTTTTTCATAGTTATTCCAAAACCTAAACATACTTTAACCTGTCATTTGACCATTATCTTTGTTAATTTTAAGCTAGAAATATTTATTTTTCGTTTATCGTATTGTTATTTATAAAGCCAATATAATTTTTTTTACTGATATTTTGTATTATATTTGACCAATAAATTATTTTTTTAGTCATGTTACGTTCTTTTTTTGAAAAAAAAAATTCTAAATATGTTTTTAATCTCAAGTCTCTCAGACTTGGCGCCACCTCTCATGTTATTATATATAGCGCCACTTCTGCAGGGTTAAAAAATTGGGGATTTGTAACTGACACTCGAAGGAGGTTGAATGTAGGGATCACATTTTTACGTTTAAGAATGTAAATTTATAATTTAAATTTGACTTGTTTCGGGATTTTCTATAAATGTGTACAGTAGCCGAACTAACTCATGCAATAAAAGACATCTTAGAGTAATGTTTTTTTAGAGAATGTATGCTGCATCTGCATCAGATACTATCTGTTTATCATTTTCCGAACCAAAGTACCTACATAATCGAGGAAAAAAAACTGATTTGAAGAAGATTTGTTCTTAAACTTATATTCGGATTTTCCGCTACTGCAGTCAAAACGTTGAATGTATTGTCGTTTTCCTGATGGTTTTGAGGGACATTTTGAACGTTATTGCACTTGCAGTTCTTTAACTAACTTATAAAAAAGTATAAATTTAATATACGTCAAAGGCAAATAATGAAACGTGATCGCTGTTTTTTTAGGAAATTCCAAGGCATATTTGATTTATTGTAAAATGAACCTTTTGATTTTGTCGATTTCTACGGTTTTGAAAAACGGAAAATTATAATTAATAGTATGAACAGATGCAGTATTTTTTTCTCTAAAAGAAACATATTTAGACTTTTGCTCTAAAATAATTAGGGGAGCTAGTACTTGACTACAAAGAAATTACCATTGAAATCCCTATGCTGCGTCGCGCTAGGCACCACCCGGTATACCCACTAACGTGTGTTTAATGGCCGTTTGCACCGACAAATTTAAGCTGAGCTTAGCTTAAGCGTTGCTTAAAATCTATGACAACGATTATTAAGACAATGGTCGTCATGGATTTTAAGCTACGCTTAAGCTAAGTTCAGCTTAAATTTGTCGGTGCAAAGGGCCATTAGTTCCTTAAATGAAAGACAAAACACGTTGACTTAGTCCACCAAGTACAACAAATAAATTTGTTTTCAGTTCATCATATCCATAAAGTAGACCAAAGGAACATCAAAGTGCTCCCATCTAAGGGTCGGTGTAAGCAATACTATTGCTCCTACTGCAGTAAATTGGTATGCAGCTTTGGCCGTCATATTACAACAAAACATGTGGATGTAAAGGAAGTGTCGGATGTTTTGAAGTTACCAAAAGGTAGGGATAGTTATGTAATGGTTGGGGTAGTTTTTCCACAAAGCTATTTGTTCAATTCCGAATAGGCAATCTCGTTACCTTACATGAAGTTATTAAACACTGCTTTTAGGTCATCCAGAGAGACATGCCAAATGTTCACTCAAGAGAATTACTCGGTATGACGATATACATTTTAATACCCTTAGGAAGCTAAAGAAATTGCTAATTGTAAAATACGATACAATGCATTAGTAGTTTTCATTTCATTTTATTAATTTTCTTTTATTTCGTTTTTGGTTGTTTTGTTATATAACATTAAGGTGTAAGATATTATTACATTTGTGCACACTCTTACTCGTATTACTTATAACTTCGTAGGTATTGTCTTGTAATTGGAATGTTTGTTTTTCTGTTGGGCAATAAAAGGAAATTTAATTTTAATTTACAGATCGCACAGAATAACTCCTACAAAAAATCTGTCATCAATCTATACAAAACATTTAAGACGCAAACACACACTCAAACAGATTTACCCACATCAAAAAATCAACAACAAATACATGTGAATATCAAAAAAGTTGGTAGCACACTCATATTTAAGAGATTTTTCATTTTTAACAGAAATTGTAAATATTCACCCTCAAAGATTTGTAAAAGATGTAACCCAGAAAATACTGAATATTTTGATTTATTTGATTAGTTATCAAAATAATTCTGTAAATTTGCTTTTACTTGTGGGTTTATACACTGCTCCAAAGGCGATTATGCAGTTTATTCGAAGCATGGAGTGGTAAGTGCAGCGATCCAAAGCGAGATAGACCGACTTAAAGTACCGGCCCGTGTTCGATCAAAACGGGGATTGCCAGTTAGGGGTAGGCTGCAAGTTTAGTCATAGTAATCCCACAAGAAGTGACTTACTTAAGTGCCCAGTATGCAAAGATATTTTAAAAAACGGTGAACTCTCATTTTTGATAGAGTGTAGGCACATCATTTGCCGCACATGTGCCAATAGGCTGGATATGTATCGTACTCTACGAGACGGGACAGTTTTGAAATTGTGTCCTATGTGCCGGCAAGAGGCAAGAATTGGACTGATCGAATAATTTAGTGTACCTTTGTAGATGCTACAAAATCTGTATGTATTATTTGATTAGGTATAAACTAATAACATAGTTTAAAGCGGTTTGGTAGTTGGCCATTAGCAACATTTCTAAATTCTAATTTACAATAGTACATTGAGA